CGTTGCTCCCACTCTGGGCCACTGGCGGCCTTCAGCCTCGAACGTCCGCGCTGGCGTCGCCGCCGCGTGAACACGGCGCGAACCTGCATACGGTCACTGCTTTGGAACAACTAGGACAGGCATGCGAGGCGCCGAAGCGAGAATTGCGTTTCGAAGCTGAACTGCGGCCCGTCCACTTGACCACAAACTTCGAAAACAAAACTGGCATCACATGAACGTTGAAGACGTATGGGGCGAAACGGCCAGCGAGCGAACGACGGGACTGAAGAAGAGATTGGGCGCGAATTAATGGGGAGGCGATACATGTAAGCGGAAGAAAGGTGCCCTTTTCGGACCCTCAAAATCTCCATTGGGGCACACAAGCGCCCCTTCAGGGCCCTTTAGGGCCCCTTTTCTGCAGCCCTCGCTTCCCCCCCATTTTTATCGCCCCCCTAGTACGCGGCCTCCAAAGAGGAAGAGGAAGAAGAGGACCAACACAACCCCAAGAGATATCGGCAGTGCCACAATAAACAATCCCAAGCCAAGTCGCCTCCTCACTAGTCTGAAGTCGAGCATGTCCTCCTACAGGCGGATTTCGACAAAAAGTGACAAAATAGTCAAGAATATACAAAACTAACCAAAAACATATGAACATCGTCGCCAAATCCGCCGGCCCCCTTGCGGGGCCACCAGGCTGTAGGCCGGAAATGTGCTGCTCCCTGTACCAGTTGCAGCTTCCAGTTTCCATTGTTACAGTTCTGCTTCTTGCTGCTTACTGTTTCTTGTTGATGAACGCGCGAGGGGGGGGAGCCCAAACCAGCAGAACTACCACGCCCTGGGAGGGTTCTCAGAATTTCTAAGAGGGGTAAAAATTGACAACCCTCACGCAGATCCGCAGCGTCAGGGTCCAAAAACAACAGGGATTTGCCACACTGTTTAACTTCAGTGGCACCCCTCACGCAGATCGGCGGGGTCAGGGTAACAAAAACACACAATGGATTTGCCACATTCCTGAAATTCGGTGGCACCCCTGACGCAGATCGGCGGGGTCAGGGTCAAAAAACACAAGGGACGTGCCACATTTCTAAAATTCGGCGGCACCCCTGACGCAAATCGGCGGGGTCAGGGTCCAAAAACACAATGGATTTGCAACATTTCTGAAATCCAGTGGCACCCCTCACGCAGATCGGCGGGGTCAGGGTTCAAAAACACATGGGATTTACCACATTTCTGAAATCCAATGGCACCCCTCACGCAGATCGGCGGGGTCAGGGTCCAAAACCATATGGGATTTGCCACATTCCTGAAATTCGGTGGCACCCCTGACGCAGATCGGCGGGGTCAGGGTAAAAAAACACAAGGGACGTGCCAAATTTCTAAAATTCGGCGGCACCCCTGACGCAAATCGGCGAGGTCAGGGTTCATAAACACAAGGGATGTGCTACATCTCGAAATCCGGTGACACCCCTGACGCAGATCGGCGGGGTCAGGGACCAAAACACAAGGGATGTGTAACATTTCTCAAATTCGGTGGCACCCCCCTCATGCAAATCGGCGGGGCCAGGGTCCAAACCACACAAGGGATTTGCCACATTTCTGAAATTCACGCAAATCGGCGGGGCCAGGGTCCAAAATCAAGCATTGCAAATTACAGAATATTCGCGTCCCCGAATCCATAAACCCTCGCAAGTTGCGCTATATTCGCAGATCCGAAGCCATAAACCGTTTTGACTTACTCAATATTTGCGTCTCCGAAACCGTCGACCTGCGAACAAAAAGCGGTATATTTGCGACCCCGAAACCATACATCCTTGTAAGTTACGCTATCTGTGCGTGTCCGAGCCATAAAGCCTAATACATTATGTGATGTTCGCGTCTCCGAAATCATAAACCCGTGTTAATTACAATATATCTGCGACCCCGAAGCCATAAGCCCTATCACATTGTGCGAGATTCGCATATCACCATCGTTCCAAATGCAACACTGAGTTCAACAAGATCATCATAATCTCAGTTTCTCTTGCCGATGCAGCTTCGCGGCGGCGCCGAGGCCTCATGGTTTAGCTCTTGCATCGCCCATTATCCGAGAGAGGGGGCCGGCGGCAGGGGGCGAAGCCCTTACGGGTAATTGTTGGACTATTTCTGGTTAAACCTCCTGTAGAAGGACATGCCCGACTCAACATTCGCCCATGCAAGCGCTCGTCTTTTCCAGCGAGCGGAGCTCCCCTTCGAGAGACGAGCGTCCCACGGGCTCGCACAACAACTGCCCCTCCATCCTTCCAGCCCCAAGGAGTGCGACCAGCGACCCAAAAGTTCACGGAAGCGCCTGGCGACAGCCAGGAGGAGAGGGAGGTCTGGGCTCTTCTTCTGCTCGTCCTTCTTTATGTTGTCCCCATCGTACTTCACGACCGCGTCCCAACAATGAGTTCGAGCACACCAAGAAGAAACGCAACAATGCCTGCTCGACGCGCTGGCGACAACCCGAAATAATATCGCCTCCTAGGATCCGACACGTAAAAGCCCTACAGTTTCGATACCTCCGTGGTGCTCGAAATTCTTACTGGTGATCAATGCTAAACTAGGTTGGAACATTAGAGAGAACGCGTTTCACGGGCGCTTGCCTTGGGAACATACGGCGGCGCGTTTCAAACTGGGGGGTGAGCCCCCCCCCCAACACTCGGCGCCGTCGACCAAAACCAGGGGAACTCCCTTCCCCCCCAAACCACCCCCGTCCCGAACCCCCCCCACCCCCCCAAGGGGGGGGAGATTCACCCCCCCCCTCGGCGCCGGCGCTGGCCGGCGTGGCAGCCGCCAGCAGCGCCCACGGCGGGAACGCAGCGACGATGACCAGAGGCAGCTCAGGCGGGGGGGGGTTCAAGCCCCCCCCCTGGCGCCAGGGGGGGGGTTCAAACCCCCCCCCCCTCGCGCCGGCGCCGGCGCTGGCGGCGGCCAGCAGCGCCGGCGCTGGCGCCGCGACGGCGGGGACGCAGCGACGATTACCACCACTACCACCACCACCACTACTACCACCACCACCGCCTCAACCCACCACCACCACCACCATCACCACACAACCACCACCACAACCACCACCACACCCACCACCACAACTCACCATCACCACCACCACCACCTACCACCACTGCCACCACCACCACCACACTACCACACCACCACCACCACCACCACCACCACCACCACCACAACCACTACCCGCAGCACAACCCACCGCTACCACCACAAACCACCATACCACCACAGCCACCACCGCCACCACCACCACAACAAACGTCCACAAACCACCACAAACCACCACAACCCACCACCACCACAAACCACCACCACACCACCACAACCACCACCACCACAACACACCACCACCAAACCACCACCACCACAACCCACCACCACCACCACTACCACCACCACCACCACAATCTACCACACCACCACCACCACCTCCACAACCACCACCACTACCACTGTACCACCACTACCACCACCACCACTACCACAACCACCACCGCCTCAACCCACCACCACCACCACAACCACCACCACCACAACTCACCATCACCACCACGACCACCACCACAAAAACCCACCACCACAACCACCACCACCACAACGTACCACACCACCACCACCACCACCGCCACAACCACTACCAGCAGCACAACCCACCGCCACCACCACAAACCACCACACCATCACCACCGTCACCACCACCACAACAAACGTCCATAAACCACCGCCACCACCACAACCCACCACCACCACCACAAACCACCACCACACCACCACCACCACAAACACCCACCACCACCACTACCACCACCACCACCACCAATCTACCACACCACCGCCACAACCAACACCACTACCAGCAGCACAACCCACCACCACCACCACAAACCATCACACCACCACCACCGCCACCACCACCACCAGCACCACCTCCACAAACCGTCGCCGCAACCACTACCCACCAACACCACCACAAACCACCACCACACCACCACCAAACCACCACCACCACAACCCACCACCACCACCACCGCCAACACAAACCACCACCACACCACCACCAAACCGCCACCACCGCCACCACCCACCGCCACAACCACCACTACCACAACAAACCACCACACCACCACCACCACAACCACCACCACCGCCACCACCGCCACCACCACAACCCACCACCACCACCACCGTCGTCCTCGTGGACGCTCCCCGCCACCGCCGCCCGCCGCCGCAGGCGCCGGCCGGCGCCAGCCCAGAAATGGAAATCGTCGTCCCCGCCGCCGACGCAAGCGCCGGCCCGAGGAGAGGGGAAGCAGGGGGGGGGGGGTTGAACCCCTCCCCGCCCTCCATCACGGGAGGGGGGGGGTCCGAACCGCCACCACCACCACCACCACCCACCACCACAACCAACCACCACCACAACAAACCACCACACCACCACCACCACAACCACCACCACCGCCACCACCGCCACCACCACAACCCACCACCACCACCACCGTCGTCCGTGGACGCTCCCCGCCACCGCCGCCCGCCGCCGCAGGCGCCGGCCGGCGCCAGCCCAGAAATGGAAATCGTCGTCCCCGCCGCCGACGCAAGCGCCGGCCCGAGGAGAGAGGAAGCAGGGGGGGGGGGTTTGAACCCCCCCCGCCCTCCATCACGGGAGGGGGGGGGTCCGGTTCCAACCCCCCCCTCCAAGCGACCACAGAACGAGCTCTTTCGATCATTAAAACCATAAGGAATGCGACCAGCGACCCGAAAGTTCAAGAAAGCGCCTGGCGACAGCCAGGAGGAGAAGGAGGTCTGGGCTCTCCTTCTCCTCGTCCTCCTCGTCTTCCTCATCTCGCCATCGCTCGGACGTCCATTCCCCGTGCATTTTTCGATTACGTGAATATATTTCGCAGGATGATCCAAGATGCTTCTCGATGGTCCTCGCCGAGGAAAAATGCACTCGTCCGAGCGATGCCAAGTCATCGGATGGGGGGGGGCGGGTCCAGCTGCCGCTGCAGCCGCTCGACCCAGTCGCTGCACACGCTGCCTGTATGCAAGGGTGCCGCGGGGGGGCGCCGACGACCAAGCTCGTGCGCGGGCCCTCGGATACAGTCGGACCTAAGACAGAAAAGCATCCTCCAAGAACATCAGACCCTCCGCCGGCCAGAACACACAGAACATCCAAGGGTACCCTCCGCAGGATGCACGAGAACATCCAACAAGAACGCGAAGAACATCAGGGTACCCTCCCCGAAACGACCTCGATCTTACACCTCGGCCCGACTGCAGCAAGCTGTGAACAAACAAAGGGCACGGACGGCTCGTGGCCAGCATGAGTCCAGAGGACGCACTGGGCGCCCGCCACAAAGACCCCAGAACCTCTCCTCCCTCCCACTCCAGCGTCGCCGCCGCCGCCGCCGCCACATCCCTCCCCACCGCCGCCAGGGGATCTGCTGACCTGGGTCACCGCGAGCCCGGGTCAGTCGGTTCTAGCAGGATCACGCAAGTTGCTGCAAGATCCTTCACGCACGCCCGGGTAAGTGCAGTTTGCATTGACCCGCGTCTCAAGGCTCCCGAGCCGCCCCCCCACGCCGCCGCTGGCCGCCGCCGCGTCATCGCCGTTCGGGGCGGACGGAAGGGGGGGACAGCAAAAGGGGGGGTACCGAATCAACTCACGCGGCTGGTCTTGTCTGGCGCCTCACGGCACCAGGCGGCAAGAGGCAGGGACCAGCTGCACGCAGCAAATTCCGCACCCACCACTGGCGGCGCGCACAAGGGGGTAGGGTTGGGGGGAAGGCTTCTTAGAAGGAGACTGCTTCTTAAAGGCGCCGGCCTTACACCTATCAACAAGGCCCGCGCCTCCTAAGAGGCAGGGGTGCTTCTAAGAAGCCTCCCCCTCTCCCTACCCTCCTCTGCTCGTGGCTGACACCACCCGTTCCCAATCGCCCCCTCCCCTTACGCGCCCAACCACGTACATGAACACGGCCCCCCAATCTTGGACGCCCAACTTATCGGGGATAACTGCTGTCCGGGGCAACTCGGCTTTGGGCACCCGAGGCGCGAATCTGTAGTTACTCCTGACTGTCCCCAGCCCTGATGATTCGGGAGGGTTGGGCGCCCGAGTTATCCGGGATAACTGCGGTCCTGGGTAACTCTGGCTTGGGCCCCCGAGGCGCGAATCTGCAGCTGTCCCTGACCGCCCCCAGCCCTGATCATTCGGGACTCGGACAGTCCGCGAGACCAGCCACGTGATACGAACGTTCGCGCAGAGCGCACCCTCGAGGCCAGCGTGGATTCATGTATGTGCACGTCCCTCGATCGCTCCTGACCCCTGCCGTCTGACCCGTGCGGCCGCCGACGTTCCGCCCGCAGCTCACGCGCCGCTGTGCCGGGGGGGGGGACCCCAAGGTAGTCATACCGCCACTCCCAGGACCTGATCAGGTGGGGGGGGGGTGCGCGTTGCACATGTGTTTTTCCAATCCTTCCCGACGCCCCCCCACTGGGAATGGAGGGCAAATTGGGGCCTTCGGGTGGGGTCGGGGTGGTTTGCTGTGGTGAGGACCTCTCCCAGGGTGCGTTCTGACCAGAATTCCGAGGCGACTCCAGCGGTGGCGACGAGGAGCCTCCCAGGAGGCCTCCAAGGGGAGAACGAGGGGAGGGTAGAGGCACGGGCATCCGTCGGTCGGAAGAAGTCCGAAGAAACCTGAAACAGGACTGCGATGGAAGCAGATTGGGCTTCCGCCCTTCCCTGAAGAGGCAGGAGGTGAAACCACTCGATCATTGAAGTAGGAAGGCGCCTAAAGTATATTGGGATCCCAATTTCCCACAATCAAGAGAAAGGAGGAGGTGAAACCACTCGATCATTGAAGTAGGAAGGCGCCTAAAATAGATTGGGATCCGAATATCCTAAAATGCCTACGTCCAACGACCGACGTAGACCTTTTCCTCATCTCAATAAACAGCAAATGCCAATACCGCTACTCCCCGGACCTCTCCCGGGGAGCGTTCTGAACAGAATTCCGGGGCGAATCCAGCGGTGGCGACGAGGGCCTCCCAGGAGGCCCCAAAAGGGAAGGTTTGGGCCCCTTTTACAGGAAAGGGTAAAGGTATGTGTACCTCTTGAAGGGTAAAGGTAACGGTAAAGGTAAAAGGAAAGGTAAAGGCAGAAGCTCCGACGGCGCAGGCCGCGCGCCGCACCGCGCGCCTCGGGTGATCCCGTCCCCGAGGCACACCACGGGGCGGCGCGCCACTGGTACGGGCCGCCCCCGGGGCACTCCGCAAGCCGCCCCGGTGCTGGGCCCCCGGCCGCTGCGCAGATAGGCCGCGGGGCCCAGCCTGGCACGCCGCAGCGGCTGGTCGTCGTCGTCGTCGCCGTCACCGCCGCCGCCGTCGTCGTGTCGTCGCCGTCGCCGTCGTTGCCGTCGTTGCCGTTGTTGCCGGCGGCGGCGGCTGCGGCGGCGTCGGCGGGGACGGCGGCGACGAGAACGAGGACGGCCCGAGGCGAGGGCGGCGAGGGCGGCGAGGACGGCGAGGGCGACGAGGACGACGAGGGCGACGAGGACGGCGACGGCTCTGTCAGAGCGCGTCCCGACCAGGACCGCGGAGCGAATCCAACCGCGTCGACGCCACGGCTGGATTCGCCCTGGTCGTTGACCTTTCGTCGTCGTCGCAGTCGACACGGTTGGATTCGCCCCGGATTCCTGGTCAGAGCATGGGGAAATCAAGCGCCCCTACCACTACTTCCCAGACCTCTCAAGGGCAACGTGGTGACCAGAATTTGGAGGCGAATCCAGCGGTGGCCACGAGGTCCTCCCACGAGGCCAAGAAGGGGAATGAGGGAAGGGTAGTGGTATGGGTAACCTCATGAAGCAATGAAGTAACCTCCTGAGTGCTCGTTAGCACCGAAACGATAATAGTCAATCCGAGGGGGCGGATTTAGCGGAGCGATATTTTCAGCACCGCACCAAGGCGCAACAAATAAATAATGTGTGGCACGCCGTTCAACCACAAGTACTCCTCCTTTTCCATCCTTCGACCATCATTATCGCCTCGCCCTTCGACCGCAAAATATGGGGTCTTCTCTTCTTCCTCCTCCTCCTCCGCCTTTTCTCTTTGCTCCTCACCGCCCCCTTGTCCTGTTCTCTTTATCCTCAGCGCCCGTCCTATACGATTCCATTTGCATTCCCGAATGAGAACTTGATAATCGTCGGACGTCCTAAGAGGTGGTCCATCCCAAGGAATCGCCACCGCCCTGCACGGAGCTTGATCTTAGCACTGGGAAACGCCGAAAAGAATTAATTCGCGTCCGCGGCTCGGCAGTTGTAGTGATAGTAGTGGTAGTCGCACTCGTAGTTGTAATGTAGTGGTGTTGGTAGTAGTAGTAGTAGTAGTAGTGGTAGTAGTAGTAGAAGTAGTAATAGTAGTAGTAGTAGTAGTCGTAGTAGTAGTAGTAGTAGTAGTAGTAGTAGTAGTAGTAGTAGTAGTAGTAGTAGTAGTAGTAGGTAGTAGTAGTAGTCGTAGTAGTAGTAGTCGTAGTAGTAGTAGTAGTAGTAGTAGTAGTAGTAGTAGTAGTAGTAGTAGTAGTAGTAGTAGTCGTAGTAGTAGTAGTAGTAGTAGTAGTAGTAGTAGTAGTAGTCGTCGTAGTCGTAGTCGTAGTCGTAGTCGTAGGTAATAGTAGTAGTAATAGTAGTAATAGTAGTAGTAGTAGTAGTAGTAGTAGTGGTCGTAGTAACAATATACATCGTATTTCTAGGAAAAAAAACAAAAAGCAGTGGTAGTCGTAATAGTAGCAGTGTGGTAGTAGTAGTAGTAGTAATAGTAGTAGTAGTAGTAGTAGTAGTACTTGTAGTACTTGTAGTAGTAGCATCCGTAGTAGTAGTAGTAGTACTACTACTACTAGTATTAGTAGTAGTAGTAGTAGTAGTAGTCGTCGCAGTAGTAGTAGTAGTAGTAGTGGTAGTAGTAGTAGTAGTAGTATTAGTCGTAGTAATGGAAGCAGTCGTACTCGTAGTAGTCATCGTAGTAGTAGTAGTAGTAGTGGTGATAACAATAATAAGTACAGTAATGCTTGGTACGATCAGTGTTATTATTATTTTCGTAGTAGTAGTGGTAGTCATAATGGTAGTATTAGTATTATTATTCGTAGTAGTAGTAGAAGTAGAGGTAATACTACTGACACTAGTAATATCATATTAGTAGTATTATTAGTAGTAGTAGTAGTAGTAGTAGTAGTAGTAGTAGTGGTAGTAGTCGTAGTAGTGGTAGTGATAGTCGTAAGTAGTAATAGAAACAGTAACCGTAGTAGTAGTAGTAAAAGTAGTAGTAGTTGTAGAAGTCGTAAATGTAATGGTATGAGTGATAAGTGAAGCCAAAAGCAAACATAATAATAATCGTCGCCAACGTCGAAGTAGTAGTAGTAGTAGTAGTAGTAGTAGTAGTCGCCGCAGTAGTAGTAGCAGTAGCAGTAGCATTAACAGTAGCAGCATTAGTGGTAGTAGCACTGGTAGTAGCAGTAGTAGTAGTAGGAGTAGTAGTAGTAGTAGTGGGGGTGGTAGTCGTGGTCGTAGTGGTAGTAGTGTAGTGTAGTTGTAGTAGTAGTAGTCGTAGTAGTAATCGCAGTCGTAGTAGTAACCATCGTAGCCGTAGTAACCACAGTAATAAGTAGTACGGGTACTGTTGGTAGTACTGATAGACGTAGTAGTAGTAGTAGTAGTAGTAGTAGTAGTAGTAGTAGTAGTAGTAACAGTGATACTAGAAGTAGTAGTTGTTCGAGTCATAATAACAGAAGAAGTAATAGTATTAGTAGTAATAGTAGTAGTACTAGTAGGAGTGTACGTAGTAGTAGTGGTAGTAGTAGTAGTAGTCGTCGTCGTAGTAGTAGTGGTAGAAGTAGTGGCGTGAGAAGTAATAGTAGTAGTGATGGTGGTAGTAGTAGTAGAAGAATTGGTAAACTAGTTGATAATTTCCGTCGCCGTAGTAGTAGTAGTAGTAGTAGTAGTAGTAG